CTAGCGGCCCCGGCGAACTTTGTTCCGCCTTAATGGCAATAAATAAGCAGACTTTTTTTTTAATTTCGAACGGGATAAAAAGTATCCTATGTCCTTCTCCTGGCTCTAAACTACCTCCCTGACAATTTTCAGCTAAATCGGTTCAGCCGTTCTTGAGTTATAAGTGGAGTAACTAACACGACTTTCTTTTATATATATATAAGATGTTAATCATTGATTAATAAATTAAATTATTGGGCTTTCAAATAACACCAATATTGTTGGGGCACCATTATTATGTCAGAAGAAAATCATAAAAGTCTGCGTCGCGGAAGGTGCGATTTATTTGATGTTGAGTATATTTTTATAAACGAATGGGGCCTAGAACTTTCGCGTTAATCAAGTTGACCGTATGAAAATAAATTTTTATTTGTGTCTTGTATACACGATTCAAAATTGTCTACGTTTGCGCAGCCTCTAAGTTTCTCTCTCTACCCAGGTGTGGGTGGGCACCCTCTCCACGTGCCCAGACGGCAGTCGCCTGGAGTGTAAAAGCACCAGCGCCGCGCAGCCCGGCGTGCAAGACGCGATCGGCGACACAATCCTCTGGGTCAGCCAGGTCACGCCGCATGGAGTCCTGGTCTTCCTGCCTTCGTACCAGCTCATGAACCGGCTCGCCAGGAGGTGAGTCATGTTACTACAGCAGCTAACAAGAGCACCAGCGCCGCTCAGCCCGGCGTACAAGATGCTAAAGGTGACGCGGTCCTCTGGGTCAGCCAGGTCACGCCGCATGGAGTCCTGGTCTTCCTGCCTTCGTACCAGCTCATGAACCGGCTCGCCAGGAGGTGAGTCATGTTACTACAGCAGCTAACAAGAGCACCAGCGCCGCTCAGCCCGGCGTACAAGATGCTAAAGGTGACGCGGTCCTCTGGGTCAGCCAGGTCACGCCGCATGGAGTCCTGGTCTTCCTGCCTTCGTACCAGCTCATGAACCGGCTCGCCAGGAGGTGAGTCATGTTACTACAGCAGCTAACAAGAGCACCAGCGCCGCTCAGCCCGGCGTACAAGATGCTAAAGGTGACGCGGTCCTCTGGGTCAGCCAGGTCACGCCGCATGGAGTCCTGGTCTTCCTGCCCTCGTACCAGCTCATGAACCGGCTCGCCAGGAGGTGAGTCATGTTACTAGCTACTGCCTGCGTATACAGTAAAATGTCTTGGGAAAGCTTGTTGTGGGTCAACCAGGTCACGCCACATGGGGTCCTGTGTTCCTGCCCTCATACCAGCGCATGAACAGACTTGTCAGGAGGTGAGTCATATTGCAGCAGCAGCAGCTGCAGGTATACACATGTACAGTGGTAGCGCTGCATGAGTCCTGGTGTTCTCGCTTTCGTACCATCTTATGCTCTGACTCATCAAGAGGTGCCTGGTGTTGCTAGAGCACCTTGTAGCAGCAAGCAACTGCAGGCAGCATCCCGCATATGTAGTGAGAGCATAGCGTGGCGCCGCATGGTATCCTGGTCTTCCTGCCTTCAGACCAGCTCATGAACTGACTCGGCAGGAGGTGCTAGAGCAGTTAGTCTCTTCCTAAATTACGTGTACTTACGTATCACACGTTTTTACATTACGTACGTACACTTTCACAGTTTGGTTGAGCCCTCGCAAGAGATAATAAGCATCTTTTCTCAACTTCGAACTACATACATTATTGTATACTTACAGGTGGCAGGAAACCGGAATTTGGAGAAAGTTAGAACAACAGAAGAATGTCTTTATGGAGAGCAGAAACGTGCGAGATCACAACGACACAATGGAGGTAACGTGACTATGCTATGCACTCATGTTTCATTTATTGAAGTAAAAAGCAAACCCCTTAACTTGACGTTTCTTTGCATTCAAATCAAAGAGAAGTTACTCAAATCACCAGACACACTTCGGAGTCTATAATTATTTATTAACATACATTACTAAACTTGTTTTATCACAGGACTTCTACAAGTACGTGGAGACGGATCGAGGCGCAATTCTATTCGCGGTGTTCCGCGGAAAGGTGTCTGAGGGCATGGACTTCAAGGACCACCAGGCGCGCGCTGTTATCACCGTAAGTTACCATCACACCACCATATCATCATCATAATAATATTATTATTAGTAATTTGTAAATAAAAATGACTAATAATCCCGTTAACCCCTCGTGGTAAGCAATTTTTTTTTTATAAAAAAGATTAGCCCCTCGTACTAAGCTAAATATGTTTGTGTTACGAGTGGGTTCACCACAATAGTCAAGTAGCGGCGAGATTCGAACCCGCGTTCCTCGGATCACGGGTCGGATCATCGTTTTCATCAGGTCATTTAGTCTCCAGTGTAGAAGCACGACCCTCTTTAATTTATCAGACAAATAAACTATTTGGCCTACACTCCCTACACTGGCCAGATAGATGGTTTAATATGTGTGGTATCTACTTTTTGGTCCTTCAAGCCGGACAAACAGTTTTAATTCAAAGGGCATTTGTATTTATTTCAGATCGGAATCCCGTACCCGAACACGTTCGACATGGCGGTAAAGGAAAAGATGGCGTACAACGACAAATATGAAAAGTCGCGGGGTCTACTCCGCAGTAGCGAGTGGCTCCGAGTGCAAGCTTATAGGTAAAATTCACGGATTTTTTGAATTTTCGTTCAGGCTTGTACATATTCTCAGAACTAAGCTGGCTCCATTGAAAACTAGCGTCTAAAATTGCGACATGGCTTATGCGAAGTCAGAACTGAGAATTCAATTTGGTTGCAGACTGATTTTCATAGCTTTTTTTTTAAATAAATACTTTTTTGCTTCTCTTTTCATGTAGTTGTGTTTTATCGTCTATGCCATTGTGATTCCCAAAATTAATTGCTCGTTTAGTTAACTAAAATTGTTTTTTTTTTTCAAGTACTAAAGATAAAAACTCGAAAAATATTTAGTTTTTTCCTTGTTTCTCTGAATGACTTACTTGACTTAAGGTCCTATCGGCCGAATACTGAAACACTACTCAAATCTGTCACTCAGCTGACGGGCTCCTAAATTTAAGTATCCTTCAATTTTAAATGGTATTCTCAAACGCCACTCAACGGATTTGAAGCCGTGATCAGCTAAGCAGCTCTCAAATGTTTAGCTACNTGGTAAGCATTTTTTTTTTTATAAAAAAGATTAGCCCCTCGTACTAAGCTAAATATGCCTGTGTTACGAGTGGGTTCACCACAATAGTCAAGTAGCGGCGAGATTCGAACCCGCGTTCATCGTTTTCATCAGGTCATTTAGTCTCCAGTGTAGAAGCACGACCCTCTTTAATTTATCAGACAAATAAACTATTTGGCCTACACTCCCTACACTGGCCAGATAGATGGTTTAATATGTGTGGTGTCTATTTTTTGGTCCTTCGAGCCGGACAAACAGTTTTAATTCAAAGGGCATTGCATTTGTATTTCAGATCGGAATCCCATACCCGAACACGTTCGACATGGCGGTGAAGGAGAAGATGGCGTACAACGACAAATATGAAAAGTCGCGGGGTCTGCTCCGCAGTAGCGAGTGGCTTCGCGTGCAAGCTTATAGGTAACATTCAATATAATATTAATTTGTTCTTCTACTTTTAAATTGCTTTATAAATATACGTGCATCACTAAGATAGGGTAAACAAACGAGCGTCACATCCGTATTTCGTTTATGAATGAGACATACCAGTAACAGTATAATGAAAACTTGAAAATCATTTTTGTTATGTTAAAACTCCTTCCCCCTTACAACTAGGATGTTACACGAAAAGTTACACCTAGGATGAATTGGATTAAAATGACATTTCCATACTAAATGACAACTTAAGCCAGAGTAAGCTAGGGTGTAACTTTTTTTAATAAGGGGGTTAGAACAAATGTTGTTGTATTTGATCTTAGCTATCTAATTCTGCGAGGTTACTGATGTTTTATAAATTACCCTGTATAACTAAACCTACCTAATAGCACAGAATAATAATAAGTACTACGTACAGAAGTTTTACTTCGCGAAGGTATTTAAAAAAATGTATGCTCAATGTCATTAACAATATGGTGTAATTTAGCCTGTCTCAAGAATCAAGCACCATTTTGTTGACAAACGTCAGTGATCGGCACTGCGCTGAAGCTATAGGGCTGACTTCGGTAAAATGATGTGACGTGAGGTGCCAAACTGCGAAAAATAGCGGAAGAAATACATGATTTAGCATGAATTATCATGAATAATATTAACTACTTATTTACCTCTCAGTGTCTTGAGGCAACTTAAAAAAGTACATTCTGTGTTTTATTATTATTTAGGCAGTTAAATACTGCACAGTATTTAGTACACCATTTTCTTTATTTTCTTCATCATACACAAGAATACGCGTGCGTGAGTCAATGTTCGCTCGTATGTGAGGCCTTGTCGAATAGTATCCTGTAGGTGGGCCATCGTGCGTGTTTTGTTTTCGATGTAAACTCGCGGAGATAAACAGGCCTGGTAATAGTCAGTGTAATTGATGTGCGAATGTCCCTTATTCCAGGGCGCTGAACCAGGCGGTGGGTCGCTGCGTGCGGCACCGCGGCGACTGGGGCGCCGTGCTAATGATAGACGCGCGCTTCCAGAACCCCTACTACACCGAGCACCTGTCCAAGTGGCTGCGCGGCTTTGTGAGTACCAGACAATAACACTTCCCTAATTCCCTTAGATTTTGTACGGCAAAGACAAGCTATGACGTTCCTTACTTTCTTAGTACGTTAATGCCCGTTTCCACCATCCAGCCCTAATTATTATGTGACCCCTATGAAAACAAAATTCCTGTTATTTGTTACCATTAGGGTCACTTAAAATTAGGGATTGATGATGAAAACGGGCATTAGCCCCTTGTATGCTTAGTTACGTTCAAAACCCAAAAATGAAAATTAACCATTCAGGAAAAATAACGCATAGTGATCCCTATAATACAACCACATCGCGATATTCGTGTTACGGCTCATGTGAATACGATCAGCCGAGCTAGAATGCGCGCTGTGATAAAATCTTATCGATAATTTTAGACGGCAAACTGTGTATCGCGTAAAATCGATATAATGGCGCGATAAACGCTTATCCCGCGCGTTCTTAGCCTACAGAACGTGGTGTCGCGCGGATAATCAGAGAAAGACAGCTACTTTTGTGTCGTGGCTATCATGCGACTACAACGCGTTGTGGCAATGAAGACATGTGCTTTCTTTAACATTATGGCTATTACTTATTTTCTTTTATTTTCCACAGCTGAACAACAACCACCACACGTTCGAGAGCCTCGTGAACAGTCCCAATAGTCTGGAGTCCTTCATGCAGAGCATGACCATCAACGAGACGGAAGACGTGTGAGGAGCGTCTGTTCAACACGTGCTATTTCAACTTTAGCTAGCTAAGCCAGGATCTACAGCTTGACCAATAAAAAAAAACAATCAGTGAAGGTCAAGTTTGTCCTGGGGGAAAGTTAAACTGTCATTGGACCCGCAAGGAAATTAATCAGAAGAACATAGGAGGACTTCGAAGTTAAGGTTCGACTTCCCTCCATTGCAAAGTTACTAATTGCAATGGAGAGAAGTCATGGAAAATTCATGGGACATTAAAATTACCACCTTTTGCAAAGGTCTGGTTCGAAAAGTACTAAATGTTGTGTATACAGGTTGTTTAGTTTTTTCGATTTAATGAGACTGTTTTGTGTGGAAATAGCTATTTTTGAATACACGTTCCTCGTATGAGATGCGCATTATATCAGCTGTTGTACTCTCCGACTGCACATCAGTTATAATACTGTTGTAAAGTCGGCCTTTACAACCAGATAAGCTGCTGTCGTCTGTACATCATTTTTGTTAAATAGCAGCTATGTATAATTGTATGTATAAGAATCTATAAAATAATTTGACTGGCTGTCGTCGTACATTTAACATTTCAGTACTTTTCGTACTGAATACTCGGTTATGTGCCATTGTCCATTTTAACTCATTCTTTGCGGCATATTTTGCCTGTTTGGCACAAGTTCCTTTTTAATTAAAGAACTATACATACAAATTCTGTCAAAATGTTTGCTCAATTTGCATAATAATTATTGGCTGTGAAAATTAAAAAATAACAATATCATTCAACATAGCTTAAATATCAAAAGTACACTATATGAAATGGATGGACATTATTTTAAGTTGCCTAAGGCGTTTTATTTTTATGTGCTATAGTGTTATATTTTAAATGTAATTTTAAGCTATTGTTAAGAAGTTAGAAGTATTTATGAATGTTATAAAACTATTTAGTTTTTTTACATTTATGATCATGCTAATCGACAGTACATATTTTTATACGAATAAAAGTTATGATAATATTATTATTTGAAATGTTATTACTTCCTTTCCATGCGACCCATTCCTCCTTTAGTGGGCGATAAAATACCAAAAACAAACCTGAGACAAATTATTACAAGATTCACAGTATTTCACAGGTAAATTAAAACTCCCAAATAATTGTGCTAAATGATGTATATTTTAAATTGTTATTAATTCATTACAATACAATATGAATATCACAGNTATCACGGTGGTACTAATGAAGTACCCTAAGCGTAGCTACCGAAACCATGCTACAGCTGTTGTTTAGCTACCCTGGAACAAAACGTATTTTTTTGTTAATTTTTTGGCACTTATTTGCTACGTAAACTATGGACTTCAGACTGAATTTTTCTTACTATCCAAGCAAAAATAATAAATAAGCACATTGTAATTGTATATTTAGGATTGATCTTATATTTTAAGATTAAACCAATCATAAGCCTAAACTTATGCTTGTGTTAAGACTAGATTCATATTTGAATACAACTTCCTGATACGGGTCATAATAAGCATGATAAAAATAAAGTTGGAATAAACTATACTGAGTAATAAAATACAATCATGTTATAACAAACGACAATCTAGGCGCAGACCACCAATTTTTAGTTGGCCGATAGTTGAGCCCGATTTTAACTTTATGAATAATTGGATACCAAATTGGAGTAATGTGCACACTTTCATACATATCCATACTAAGAGCCCAACTCAACTATCGGCCAACTAAAAGTCGGTGGTCTGCGCCTAGGCTAATAGTAACTTTTCGCCACCGATCTACCCGACAGCACTTCCACCCCCATCACTTAGATGGTTGGCAGTCCACAACAGTACGTTTCTCTAGAAACTTCCTGCCCCGCACAACCAAACTGTCGTCTGCGGTGTTTCCGGACGGATACGACCTGCAAGCTTTCAAGAGGAGAGCGTATCTTCACCTTAAAGGCCGGCAACGCACCTGTAACGCCCCTGGGTCTGCGGGTGTCTATGGGCGACGGTAATCACTTACCATCAGGTGATCCGTCTGCTCGTTTGCCTCCTGTCACAT